CTTTGGCTTGATGGTCCTTGGGCGAGCCGGCATTGGCAAAACTCCAACTGCACAAATTATGACCTTGGCAGTAGCTCGTCATCTTATTTCTGTTCGTGGTCTTTCTGGCATGGCTGGCTGGCGGCGATCAAAGCAAATTGACGGGTTTCGCGAGCGGCCGGGTGAGGTCAATGTGCTTGTCTTGCTGGATGACCCAAACCTCAGTGCTATCAACTTTGAAGACATCAAGTCTTTCTTAGACGTTGGTGAGACTTGCTTAGTAGATGCCCGCTACAAGCCTGCCAAATTTGTACGCAACCAATGCCGGGTGATCCTGAACAACGAATGGGATGAAACCAAAGAGCCAGATCTTTCTTTGGGTGATACCATCACCTGGGAGCAGTTCCAGGGCATGTTTGCTGTCGCCATCCAGTATGCCAAGCATCCTCACATGATGGCTCGAACGATATTGAGTCCGAGTTTTCCCGTCTCAAGACCATGGTGAGAGAGCGCTATGGTAGGTTATGCTTCCAGTCCACAGCTTCAAATGAAGCAGAAGACGAAGTAGATGTAGGGGATCTGTACGAGTACACGTTCAGAGTCAACATTGGCAACTCATTTCAATCAATGCTGAATGCATTTGCTTTGTCATCACCTTAGCGTTCATCTGTGTACTCTGTCTGACCAACGGTATGGGTATAGATTGCAATGCAATCTGCTGCAGTAGCTTTACGCAAAAAATGTAATGTCTTTAGCGTCTGCATCTGCAAGGTATGTTCTTGTAGTGGTTTCTGTATGTGTTTGCTTGCATGATTACTTCAATGTCATTTGACAACAAGCATATAGCTTTTTGCAGGTGGTATCTGTATTTGATTACTCTTGTTTACTTTGGCAGTTTGCATGTTTATAAACACTGACTACTGTTTATAAACACACCACTTCTTCATTGATGAAGTTACCTTGATAGTGACTGGCTCCAGCTCAAGTCTGTATCAGTGTCATCATGGCGCCCAAGAAGGTGATGTTTGTGGCTATGGGTTCTGAAGTAGAACCTGGGCGGTTTTCGTTGGATCTGCAGACGGTGGACCCTGTCATCTACCGCCCAGACCCAACTACTGATGCTGAGCCGTCAGTGCCTGTGCCCAACGCACATGAACTCCACCAGGACATCGTCAGTGGCCGCAAAGCAGCGTGTGAGTCAAAACAACAACGAACACCGAGACAGATTCAAGCGCATATTCACTATGTCCAAAGAAGCTTGAATTTAGCTCCTGGCATTTCTGGCCAGTGGTCTCGTCAAGCGCAAGATGTTCTCGACACGTGGCTCTTGAAAGATTTGAAGGGCGTGCAGAAAAGGAATATGTTGGCATTGGAGGACAAACCACCTGCTGAAAGTTCCTGCTCAAAAGCCGTTGGCAACATTGTTGAGAGCTCAGAAGCCCTGGACTCACAGCCAAAGGATGAGGATGCCAACATCTTTGAGGACCATCACTCAGAAGCCCTGGACTCACAGCCAAATGATGACAATATGATGGACGAGGATTGCGTCAAGGAGACAACCCCCAAGGATGGCAAGGCCAAGGTCTCATCTTCATCTTCTTCGTCTTCTACCTCCTCTTCCTCGTCCTCTGACCGTACTAAGCGCCGCAAGGTAGAACTGCAGGCTGCATTGACACATCTGAAGAACTTACAAGAAGTGCACCACCTTGAAGACATGGGCGGTTGTCTGCAAATGATTAAATCCGCCATGCAGAATGTCAATGCAGCTTTGCGCTTGTAGATAGCATGAACCTCCTCTGGCATGAACCTGGGCGTATGGCGTATGAAAGATTTCATGCAGTCTATGTGCAATGTTTTTGTGGAAGTATATGCATATATATATATGGGCGCGTTTCATGGTATTATATCTTATCCATTACTTCTCAGGGGGGCCCCGAAAAGCACGCGCGCCCTTATATATATATATAGTACATGTAGGACCAGGACCAGGAATTCAATTTTTGGTGGGTTTTGTAAAATGGTCGATTTGTCAGGATGAAGTAGCTTCTTTTTGCATGGTGTTCCTCCAAATCAACCTGCCCCGTTTCAACGTGGTCCCCGTGTGACGCATGATCGTGTGAAGTGGAACAATTGAACAACGAGTTGCCTTCACAAGGCATCTACGTTTGTCTTCAAACGCAGCAGGCAGGTCACTGTCACGTGGAAAATGATCCAAATGGCTGTAACATAAGGTGCGTGTCTGAATCATTTCCCAGAAGACCGAACCCAGCTTCCAAGTGCGAAGATTCGTGATGGAAGACGATTTCTGTGTGGCTTCCACAGCCACCGCTGTTTTCACTCCTTTCCCACCAAAGTCTGAAAAGCCAGGCTGAACATTGGCAGCCGCTGCGCACCGGTGCCGCGCACGTTTGCGCGCGCGCCGGTTCTGTGGGCTGCGCAGGTTTCAAATGGAACTGAAGAGAAGGCCGTCGGGCTCGAGTGGCCTGAAAGATGGTCCAAAGGACTTCGAACATCATATGTAACGTAAGTTGATGTCACTGTTTTCCAAGAGAATCGCGACCATGTGACGTCTACCGGGCCTGTTTGACTCAACGGTACCGTCCTCACAGTCGATGCCGGCTTTTGCCAGTGCGGCGGCCAGTCCGGCCATCGGGCCCGTTCGTGCACGTGAAGTGGGCGAAAGATGAACTGACCCTGAGAGGCCACGGACCCACGAAGCTGTTCTTAGAACACATTTCGGACCCTTCGAGGTGTTGAGTCTGATGTTCGTGAATGAATCAAATGGAGTTTTGGTCTTTTTGTGGCCAGCCTGGAGCACCTGCAAGGAAATGGAACTGCTGGATTGTTTGGTTCTACACTTTCTCTTGAACTTGGTTGTTGATAGAGTGTTCGCTAGTAGGTCGGAGGCCATCGCTATCAGGTTGTTGATGGAGTGTTCTTTGTTTCAATGTCTTTCATGATGAACTTCCATGTGTTCTTCGGGGCCGTCGGTGGACTTGGGATGGTTTGGGACCAGCGACGGGAGGAGAAACCACAGCTTGCGGGTGAGGGTCTGTGGCTCAAGTTAGGTCAGTTCTATGGACTGGGAATGGCTTTGAAGATGCTTTGGGCATCCCTCCCATCGATTTAAGGCTTCTGAGGAGGACGACCTTTCGCTGGTCAGTATGCACATCGCAAGAGGATCTTTTGCCCAGAGCTAGATTGGCTATGAGGCCAATTCGCTAATTTGGCTTGGGCCTTTTTCAAGCAAGCCCCTTTACAAATACTTGAGTTCATTTTGAACTCCCTTGTTATCGCCTCCATAGTTAGGGTCCCCCCCACGTCACAATGCGTCCATCACTTAAAATCGCGGCGAAGGCCGCATCTGCAGCGTGGATTTCTTGCACGTGTCCTCTCAGCGGATGGAGACTGGAGGACCGAGAGAACCCATCCACCGGACTGGAATCGTTGCAAAACCCATTGACCCTGTAAGATCCTGTAAGTAACCATTCCATACATGGATGGTCTGGGAATTGTCAAATAGATTTAACAAAAATCTCTACCTTTGGGATTGTACATTAGACCTTCTGCAAAAAAAAACAACAGACTCAACCATCCGAGGTTCACATTCGATTCCATTCCGACTTTAGTTAACAGGGACTGTCGAACACTTTCGGGTCCAAAACAGTTGAAGAAATCCAAAGCACCAAAAACAAAAACCGATCGTCTATCAAGTCCAGGTGTCTAAGTTGATCCTCGACCTCGCTACTGTCGCTGCCAGTAAACAGGTTGCCCCAGGTCACCACTTCTCCATTCTCGAGAATCGCCGCAAAGGCCGAGCTGGTCGCACGGATCGTCCGCACACGTCCTTTTTTTTGGCGGAACGGAGCGGCCGAAGCGGGGTCGGTTCGGTTCGTGTAAGAGGACAAAGGACCGGTGCACCACAAATACTGAATTGTTAAGACATATTTAGACATATATATTGTAAATTAAACAAAATACAGTAAATGGTACAAATTCACGATTTGCGGCTGAAGAATACAATAATATTGATACAATGTATATTATACTTATATAATAGGCAGGTTGCCCGTGGTTACCCCACACCGACCCAAATTCACGAACCGAAAACATACCCTCCTTCCAACAAACATGGAAGTGGAACATGACCCCTTGGGAAGACGGTTTTCCTCTACTAACAGGCCGTTTTCCACTCAGGGAGGGTATAAAACATGGTTGGAAAGTACCATTCGAACGGCACTCCACAGGGATTCCACCCCGGACCACCACTCTGCCACCAGAAACGCTCCCGGTGGCCGGACCCGGCCACTTGTTTGCACCCGATCGGTCAAGTAACACCTACTAGCCGTACTGTCGAAAGGGGAGTTCTAGTCTGGGCACTCCTGGCCAGTAGTGGATCCTTCTTATGGCTAGTATCGGATAATAGGTATGAAAATGGTTGGTGAGCTTACCTACAATTATGAAAATCCACATATTCATGGAGTTTTTTCCCGAAGACCAGTGCCTTTGAGACAAACTCATGTTGAATTTGCCATCCAACACATGTTGTTCAACACAAGTCTGGACTAAAAACGTCATACCACGTGGTGAGTGGCTTCTGTAGACCTTTACGTTCGAAACCGCAACATCACCCTGTGATGTCTGCCATTGATGCTGCGAGTTTCGAAGGCGATGCTGTACTTCACTACTATCAGCACCACCATTACGCCCGCCCCATGTCACCACTGCACCACTGGTAAGCAGTGCAGCAAAGGCAGCATCAGTGGAAACGATCTCCTGCAGGGTATGCAGCATGAAGCCAGGCTGAGCTGTTGATACATGTTCAAGCAACAAAAAGGGGCGCAGTTCCAGAAAACTCAGCTCCTCCCTCGTGGTTTCGTTGAACTCGTATATTTTGCTGCAACTTTCACTTCTCAACATCTGCCCAATCGAACAGGTCCCTCCCTCTCTCTCTCTCTCTTTCTCTCTGGTTGCCCAAAACACCGTCCTGCACATGCTGCAGCTCTTCCTGAACCTCACTGCTATCCCCACCGTAATTCTGATCCCCCCCAGGTCACCACTGTCTTGTCGCTCAAAATGGCCGCAAACGCAGCACCCGTGGAATGGATCTCCTGTTCCGCCACTCCGACGGCGAGCGAAGGTACCGGCCGGCGCTAGCGTCGTGGATGGCAGGTTCGGCGTCGAGTGGTAGTGTAGATGGCAGCGCCCGATGTCGAGATGATGGGGCCCACATGAAGGTTCCAAACTTAGGGATGGTGCCATCTACTCGAAAAAATCCACTATAAGAAAGCATTGCTTTGCGGAGTGGATGGCATTGGATGCGCCCAGTGGTGAGGGGATGAAAGCCAAATGCGGTCCATGGCATACCCAAAGCACTATAGACACCGTCTGAAACGAACAATTCTCATTGTTAGGTCACTTAGGTGTCATCGGCGGAACACAACAACATCATAATCACTGCCGGTACCATCACCACCACCACGATGACCAACACAACGACTACTTGCTACTATACTGACTATACGTATATACTGGCTACACCAAGTACTACTAACTACTGCTGCTTGTAACTAACTAACTTACTTACTTACTAACCAACTTACTTACTGGCTTACTTACTTACTTACTTACTTATTTACTTCCTTACTTGCTTACTTACTTACTTACTTATCCAACCTACTTCCTTAACTGACTTAGCTATACTTAACTAGGTAATTTACTAGTTTACTAGCTAACTGGCTAACCAACTAACTCACTAACTGAGTATTCAACTGACTAAATGACAGACAAACTAACTCACTATAACTGTATGTATAACTGACTAACTAACTAACTAACTGACTGACTGACTGACTGACTGACTGACTGACTGACTAACTATATATAACCAACTAATTAACTATCGCTGCTGCTGCTGTACTGCTGCTAGTCCTACTGCCACGACCACTGCCACCATAAGACTTCCACTATACCACCATACTCACTACCACTACTACTCACTACCACTACCACCACCAACAAACGATCCGATGACCTTGCCTGTACATCTTTGAGTTGTTCCTGGACCCGGCTGCTGTCGCCACCATTGATCGGATCCCCCCAGGTCACCACTCGTCCATCAGTGAGGATGGCAGCGAAGGCCGTTTCGGCAGCATGGATGTCCAGCACTGGTCCTTGGGAGTCAAACGGCCGACACACAACCGAAGGGGCGAACGAACCACACGTGGTGGTCGAGCTCCGGCGCGTACATGGAGCACATGAGTTTCAAGAAGCGCCAGGAAGCACACCCAAAGCTGCGTGGTTTTTCGTTGTTTCGCCGCCGCAAGCGCCGCTTCGCCCGCTTCGCCCAAGGATCTGAGCTTCTCCTGCACCTCGCTGCTATCGCCACCAGCATGATGATTTCCCCAAGTGACGACACTTCCTGGCCGCCAACGACACAAACCCCAAAGTTTGGGAAAACGAAGGACACCATCGTGACTGCCAAAAAGGTTGATCGAAAAAGACCCAAACCTGTCGGTCTGATTCAAACAAGTCTTCTTGAAAATCAGAAGGTGATCATCATGTCAATATACTAAAATCATTGTGTGACACGCGGTCTCTGTGTTGTTTGTTTTTTACTTTTGGATGGGGTGTCACACCTTTTCCACCTTGTCATCTGAAGAACACGATGCGACAACTGATGGGTCTTTTTATAGTACGGTGCACTATTATAGAAGATAATACAATATTTGTCCAAATAGAAAACCCTCATGTTTGGGGTGATTCCGGGTCAGGTCCAAATAGAAGACTTAGTCGCCTAATTTTATTTTAAACAAAAACCACCAACCTGGTTGGGAAGAAAAATACAGTAGATCAGATTGCTATCTCCTCTGAGCACCACCCTAGGTCAAACAGATGATAATTAAGAAACAAAGAGGAAAAGAAAGCGGAAGGGGGAAAGGAAAATGAAAGGGACAAGAATAACGCGCTATCTATTTATATATATATAGAAGCAGAACCAAGGCTGCAAATACCACAACACATTATCAACCTATATCTTTCCACTGCGCCCGCAGAATTCCCCCAGAAGATACGGAAAGAGGACAGGAATGGAAAGGGAAAGGAGAGCGGAAGGGGAATAGGAAATGGACAGGCAAGGGGGGAAGGAAAGGAGTGGAGGAGAGCAATGTACAAAGGAATGGGGGATAGGGGTAGAAGAAACGAGGAATGGAGAGCACGAAAAGAGAGGAGGAGAGAGAAGGAGGAAAGGGGTTGAACACATCTCAAAACAGAGAAGTTAATATAGATCAATATCTTCTAAAGAGGACAGTCGATTCAAAAAGTAAAAAAGCAGGCGGAGGGAAAACAAGAGAAAAACAGCAGGAAACGGATAAAAAGAAAAGAGCCAGGAACAAGGACAGAAAACAACATTGGAAGAATTGTGAAAAGGAATGTCAGCAGTGGAAAATACAGCAAAGAAATGCCGACGCAGTTCAAACAGAAGATGAAGGAAAGGAAAGGGAAGAGAAGGAAAGGAAAGGAAAGGCAAGGCAAGGAAAGGGCAAGCATGGAGAGTAAGGGAACAAGAAAAGAAAACAAAATGAAAGGAAAGGTGAAAAGGAATGTCAGGAGTTGAAAATACGGCCAAGAATTGCCGGACGCAATTCAAATAGAAGATAAGAAAAGGACACGCAAGGGGGAAGGAAGAATGGAGAAAGGAGAAGGCGGAAGGGAAAGGGGTCAGGAAAGGGAAGGGGGAAGAAAGGAAAGGAGAGGGCAGACGTGGTAAGGAAAGGACACGAAAAGAATGGAAGGAGAAAGGACGGGAGATTGCATCAGCGCATTTCAACAAGGAACAAGCAAAGAAAACAACATGAAAGGAAAGGTGACAAGGAATGTCAAAGGATTTAAAAAACAGCCAAGAATTGCCGCGCGCAATTCGAATAGAAGATAAAGGAAAGGACAAGCAAATCAGGCAAGGGAAAAGAGAGAAGGGAGGACGCAGAAAATGGAACTGAAAGGGCTCAGGAAAGGGAAGGGAAAAGACATTGGGAAAAAGGAGGAAATGAAAGGGCAACCGTGGAGAGGAAGGAAAGGACACGACCACGAAAAGAAGGGAAGGGGAAAGGACTGGAGATTATCTTCTCCATGCGCCAGCATGCGCCAGCATGCGCCAGCGCAGTTCAACAAGAAACCAGAAAGAAAACAAAATGAGAGGAAAGATGAAAAAGGTCGAGAATTGCCGGATGCAATTCAAATAGAAGATAAAGGCAAGGATACACAAGTGGAAGGGAGAATAAAGAATGGAAAAAACAATGGGGGAAGGAGAAGGAGCAGGAATGGGAAGGGGGAAGAGAAATGGGCAGAAAAGAGGAAAGGAAAGGAAAGGAAAGGAAAGGTGGCAGAAGAAAAGAGAAGGGGAAGGGTGAATGGAGGAAGGAGAAGGAGCAGGAATAAGAAGGGAGAAGGGACATGGGAAGAAAAAGGAAAGGACGGGGCAAGCGTGGAGAGGGAGGAAAGGACACGAAAAGAAAAGAAGGGACTGGAGAGTATCTTCTATACGCACCAGCGAAGTTCAACAAGGAACAACGAAAGAGGATGGACATGGGAAAAGCCAAGAAAGCATATAGGAAAGAGAAATATGAACGTAACGGAGACGAAGAAAGGTTAGGCGTAGAACATACCACAAAAATTTGCCAGAGGAAAAGAAGTAAGGGGAGAGAAAGAGAGGAGCAAAGTCCAAAAGTTGAAAATACAACAAATTACAACAAGGAAAGAACAGCTTTTTCCCTCCCTCCCTCCCTCCCTCCCTGCCTGCCTGCCTGCCTTCCTGCCTTCCTCTTCCTTCCTTTTCCTCTTCCTGTTCCTCTTCCTCTTCCTCATCCTCTTCCTTCTTTCCTCTTCCTTCCTTCTTTCTTCTTCCTTCCTTCTTTCTTCTTCCTTCCTTATTTTCTCTTCCTTCTTTCCTCTTCCTTCCTTCTTTCCTCTTCCTTCCTTCTTTCCTCTTCCTTCCTTCTTTCCTCTTCCTTCATTCTGTCCTCTTCCTTCCTTCTTTCCTCTTCCTTCCTGTTCCTTCCTCTTCCTTCCTCTTCCTGCCTCTTCCTTCCTCTTCCTTCCTCTTTCTTCCCTCCTTCCTTCCTTCCTTCCGTCCTTCCTTCCGTCCTTCCTTCCTTCCTTCCTTAAGCTAGTACTGACAAAAATGTAACAAATGCAAAAATATCAATCTTCTATTTGCCTCAGACCTGTTTATTTTAGAAGGTTGCCTACTTTTCAGGAGTGGTCATATCTTCTATAATAGTGCACGGTACTATAGATGGAGTCCTTCCACCTTTACGGTATAACGACAGCCATTCCATCCCTGTGTGCATTCAGTGCCAGTCACGTCACATAACCAATACGCCCTGGATCCGAAACCGGCAATGGATCTGCCCTGACAGTGGACCACATGACCTCGCAAGATGGAGACATGGTTTTAGCCATGCGTTTCCGCATGTTTGCCACGCTTCTCCGACCAAGAGGAAGACCCTTCCCCAACACACCTGGTGTTCCTCTCCCAATTCATCATCTTCATCTCTCCCCTCCATACTAGTAGCTTCTTGTTACGTTCTTCTTCGCGATGCCCTTTGCTCCTAATTCGTAGCAAACCGTGCTCCGTTCTTCTTCGCTTCTGCCCGTACGCCAAGTCTCCATCGTGCAGGAGGGCCGCGAAGGCGGCATTGGTGGCATAGATGCGCCGCACGTGGCGAAGGCGTTCTTGCACGTCCACCGGCACGTCGCCGCCGTTCGGAGCAGCCCCCCAGGCCCTCACCGTGCCATCGGTCAACAGCGCGGCAAAGGCCGCGTCGGTGGAAACGATCTCCTGGCTCTGCTGGAGGGGAAATCACCGGAGAATGGAATTGTGAGATCTATAGCTCCCAGAAATTCCTTTGGTAAAGGTCCAACCCATCTGCTATGTTTCTATCAGAACTCCTGAGATGTCGAGATTCCGAGATGAGGGCGGCCCAGGTCTTAACATGTCTTGACTCATCCTCCATCATGGGATGAGTCAAGACAAGGTGGGGTCGCCGAACCAGCCGAACCTGGGTGGTTTCCACTCCATGGGGTCCCCACCCACCTCCAACTAGTACTATCACCAAGACAACGCATGCCTCCAAGCCCAGCCTCCACCCAGACGCCATATGCCCTGACCGGCCGGACCGCAATCGCACCTTCACGTTCTTCAGATTCTTCGTGCACTCTCCACCGCTCTCCGGTCGACCCCAGGTCACCACGCGCCGTGTCTCCACCTCGACACCGGCAAAGGCGCCCATCCCTGCCGCGGGGGGGCACGGGGCAACTACCCAGCCACGGGTGGAATTGGAGGTGTTTGGATCCGGTGCAGAAGAAGTTCAGCGCAAGAAGAAAGGATGAAGGAAGGAAGCGGAAGAAGATGGAATAAGATCGGGAAAAAAAAGAACACATGAAGAAGCGCATGAGAAAAGGATCTGACACATCTGAACATAGGGGCAAAAGTACCTTTGGGGCATGGCAGAATGGTCGACTGCAGTGAAGATGATCATCCGTAAAAACATGGACAGCAGTGATGCCAGTGTGGCAAGCATGGTGGCAAGCATGACAGAATCAAGGTACATCAAGGTACTTTTGGCCCCCCTGGTGTATGGACTTGCAGTAATTCTAGAGACAAAAACACAAACAAGAAAACCAGAACTCTTGCTGGTGCTTCTGAGTTGCTCGTCGCATAAATATCTTGTATATCTCCTTAGTTGCTGGTCTCAGACTGACTTCCTGGAACCAGACTCGGAGCGTCTCGTCTCAGGTACCATCTTTCAACAACCCCTCGGACGGTCCGAGGGTCAAAACTCAGGGAACGTGACTTGGAGAGTAGCTGGCCTTTTTGCATCGGTTGCAGAGCTTTTGGAGAGGTGCCCCTGTCCCATCATGAACAAGCTCTAAATTTCACCATGGCTTGAAATGGTTTTAGATGTACATGCATGCTTTGACCTCTCAAAGAAAAGAAAGAGATTCCCTCCACCAGTCTCTCCCCACACAGCTAATGAGCAGCTCAACAAAAAGGCACAGCTAGACGGGCGGACAGGGGCTATTCACTAGATCCCCGACCCAGCGAACCGAACATCACACGCCAAGGATGTCAAGTCTCGCAGCTGATCCTGGACGAACATGCTGTTTCCACCGAAGTTGGGATCACCCCAAGTCACCACCTCAGGTGCCCGACGGCAGAAGGAGCTTCCATGTTGGATGGGATGGTTTCGGGGTCAACTCAGCCGATCCGTAGCTTGGGCTTCCGCAGTTTCCGCATCGTTCTCCCAAAAAGCCCAACTCTGCTGCCGATCGCCCCATGGAATCAGACACATCGGAATGGTCCGATATCGCCAGATACCGTCCAAAATGGCTAAATATGCACCTCACGGTCGATGGTTTGACTCAAAACAGCTAAAGGTTCCCTAATATAAGCTCAAAAGGGTGGGTCCTGTTTTTTCACTCAACGCCAAGACCGGGCAAGGTGCTTTTCAAGTTCCAGACCTAGCAGAGCTTCGATGGGTTCCAATACGAAAACGACAAAAAAAAACTCCACATCGTTTTCAGCCTGAGCATGGGCATGGACAGCTAGTGTTGACAATGTTCGAAATACCAAGGATTGGAGTCCAGGTTTCAGCGGTGCAACACAGGAGTCAAGTGCAAGTGCAACGAGAAACCTGAAAGATTCACGCTGGCCGAACTGTGAGGTCTGATAAGAAGGAAAAACAAAAAAACTGCTGTGGATCAATGAGTCAAGCAAGTCATTGTTCTAACTTCTATCAAAATGTAGACTGCTGGTCAAATGTGTTGGTATGTTTTGGTACCTATAGATAGTCAAACCAAATTTCATGCCAATACCATAGACTCTTGATTACAGTGATTACAGTATTAAACCCCCAACATGTGTGGATTCTAAGATTTCTAACATCTCTTGCATGGCTTGTGAAGGGTTGAGAACATCCGAACATCGGACAGACCATTCTACAATATAGTAAAAACATATTATCAGACTAATAGAAATGCCAGAAACCAAACCAGTTTTGGCAGACTGAACCTGATATCCAATGTCTACTAGGGTGGAGGCCATCGCTACGCCCAGCAGCGCCGCAACCTCTTACGCCCCAAGGCGCTCGTCCGTCGCCCAGCAGCGCCGCGAAGGCGCGGTCCGTGGCCACGACGCGGTGCACGTAACGCAGCTGCCGCTGCACGGCCGTCGTATCACCTGGAGGTGCGACACCGGAGCCGCCGAGCCGCCGAGCCAAGTCGAGTCGAGGTCCTGGGGGAGATCCGGACTAAGAAGGGTCTCCGAAAAGGACCCTGGGAGTCAAGGAACCTTCCTTGACGTTCAGTCGGTCAGATCGAACTGGACGATATTAGGGTTGATATTGTCTTTACGAGTATATGGAACTCGGCATCTCAAACGCGTGTACTACTGGGATGTCCCGCAAAGATCTTAGTGGTTAGAAAAGTTATACCCAGACACTCCATGTTGTATGCCACATTTGCATACATTGGGGTGGTTGAAAAGGGGTGAATGTAGGATAATGTAGGTACCACGGAGTGTTTGGGATATATAACTCCGCATCTCGAACACACGCGTACTAAGGGTCTGTGGATATGTCAATCCGGAAAACGGAGGACCTAACAGCATGCTGAGGAAAAAACATGAGTCCTATCAGCATTTGGATGTGGGTCGTTGACCTACCAGGATACCCAGCGGTTGACCTCGCTACCTAGCTGCGGACTGGTCCTTCGCGGGCTACATTACATGACAGCACCTGGTTGCGGCGGACCCAGCGTCCAGGAACTGACCAGTCCGAAAATACGAAAGGACCAGGTGGCAAGAAATGGTCGAATTCGACGTCTACCAGGACCCTGTCTATTTATAGCCCCTTAGCTGTTAAGGAGTGTCCATTAACCACCCCTTGAAGGCCCTGGTATAGAGTATCACTAAGTTTTATCAAAGTACTCCATGTGACTGTTCGACTTTTTGCCGATCCAGTGGTTTGAGGATGCACTATACACATATATGATCATATATGGAGTGTTTGGGTTTCTGCACGTGGATCACGTTTCTGCACCTGAGCTTTCTCTGGGTTTTTGATGGGTTTTGCTTCAGAAAAGCACCGAACAAAGCGCTGGGACGGTCACTGGGAGGTCACTGTGGCGCCCATTCGATGGAGGGTCTGTTACTTCGGTTGGCGCAGCGGTTCCGACGAAAAGACGGGACCCGAGAAGCAAGCAGGAGACCGACCGGTCTTGGGGCGGGTTCCGAAGATAGAAAAGGATACCTGGAATCCAAATGGGGGATCCATTGGATGTTCGTGAACATTTCTTGATATCCATCATCTCTCTATTCATCACCCAACGTTGGGTGGTTTTTCAATCAGGCGAATCCACTCATCGACTCTCTCGCACGGCGGGCCGCTTGCGTCGCTTCGAGAGGTCGGGGGTCCGAAGGAGTGACGTGACGATCTCGACGCCACGGGACGCTGCGGCGACCGTGGGGAGAAAAGGGACGCGGAAGCGGCGCGGGGATCAGAGCGACGCTGGGCGGATGAATCACCAGGTCTATTGGGATCAAACGCTATCTGCATGCGGAAAGCACTGCGTCACTGCATTGCGTCTGCATGTGTTTCAAGCTGTGCGTGTGCATCTGCATCTCGACTCCATGTTCTTTTTTCTGCAGAAGGCAGGAATGTGGGAATGTCCTGGAGATCACCTGGAGGTGAAGTGTTAAAACATGTTCAAACTGTTGGCCCAGATCTTCCAACACATGAGTAACATTGGGAACAGGGTTTCGGGTTGATCACCTGGCTGGCTCTTTGATACTTTCGAGATCTCTGAAATCTTCATATTCTTGCTAGCTTCAGAACCACAATGGGGGTTTTCTGCTATACGTACTTCGCTCACTGCTCTGTTGTTTAAAACAACCCCACTACGTAGGTGTTTCCACAAGCAGACTCCTTCCGAAAGCGTGGAGAACCAAGTCTCCTCCGAAGCGTGGATCGCCCCAGCTGACCACGCGGTTGCCACCGCCGGTGCACCACACGGCGAAGGCCTGCTTGGTGGCGCTCACGTGCGCGCGCTGCACGATGGCTGTCACCGAGTCCTCAGGCGTTGCAAACACCAGACGCGAACCGAACTGTTCCGGAAAGGTGTGGCACGGTTGGCGGCATCGCGGTGTATCGTGTGAGCTGAAGGGAAGTGCCAGGTCTGCTCTGAAATTGATTGAAGATCGATCTTCAAAGACCCTAGCTAGACTCGATTGAAAGTTCCACTTTTGAGATGAACAACCCTGCAAACTCATCAGCGGAGCATAGAATTCGAGGGGTGCGGTGCTGATTAGTAAAGACAGTTCATATGGTGGTGTAGCGGCAGTAGTATACGGCAAGGACCTGTGATCATGCCGTCCATGTCTATCGCATGTAGTTTTCAAACTTATTGCTCTAATAAAGGCATTATATGATGGCATTATATTTCTATACATTAATATGTTGGGAATTGTTTGGAGATTCTGACTCGTTTTCACACCACAGTTGTCTAAATGTTTTTTAAAATGCTCAGTCTACGTCTCTATCTAGCTGTAAAACCTCTATAGACACCAGAAAGAGCAAGCGGACGCACAATAACATGGACAAACTCATGGAGGTTTGAATAGAATTGACAGTTTTCGCAGCAAGGGCAAGGGGACACAACAAAGGAAGTACATCTGGTCAAAAATATGTGTGTCTATGAATGATTCGATCCTTATTTCAAGCGGAGGTGCCCGTAACCCGTTCTGGAGCCTGTCCAACCCCTGCTATGGAGGGTCCAACCCCTGCCATGAAGGGCCCAAGGATTCTCTGGTAGTCTACAAACTCCTCCAAGCCATAGCAAGCCGACTCTGGTCACCTATACGCGGAAAGGTTCAAGCCCCAAACATATCAAACATACCGTGTGAACGGTGCGCTCTTGGACCTTCAGGCTTGACCTCCCCTAGCTCGGGCGTCTCCATCACGCAGCTTGGCGCTCTGTAGGGAATCTGCGGGATCCAACCTCGGATGCACGTCGAGCTTCACGGTGTGCGGATGTGTGCGCTGTGCGCATTGAGGGACACGTCCACGTCGAAATTCCTAGAACAACGTCACCTCCGACGTTCGACCGCATGCAAACCGACCGGAGGGACCATCGACCTGTCGCTGTCCGACGGATCTGAAGGCCGGGCCGAACGTCAACACGGCCTGTTCCGTGACCGCGGAAGCCCCCGTGACGCGGAACCAACACCCGTCAGGGACGAACGAATCGAACGAAATACGGAGCACGGCACGCACTCGTCTGTGGACAGAAATATGAGTCTAGCATTGGCATCATCCGAATGGCTCGGCCGAAAACGACCAATTTTGGGCCGAACCATGCTAGCAGCGCCGGGCAGCAATCGTCCATCCGGCGCCACGAACTTGAGAAAGCCACGGCCAATGGATTTTTGCGCAGCCAACTTGAGGTCCAGGATCCTTGGGGCGATTTGGGCAATTGCGGAGGGAGGGCAACTTTGACTTTAAGTCGCGTCGTAAGTGCCCACCATGAATTACGGACCAAGGAGGACTCAAACCTCCATCAGGATACTGACATCTGTTTGAGAAGCAGAATCGCAACGCCTTACCCAGTAGGCGACCGATCCTTTACATTGGGGAAGAAAATCAAGTTCAAAGGTGAAGAAACTCGCACTGTGGCTCGCTTGGCGCGTCCGAACGGTGAGTCCGTGGAGGATGTATATATGCCAACCTTGACCCCTGGCACCACCCCAATTGATCGGCAGTCCTATGGCACTTTCATGGGTCGTGTCTGGGATCGGCTATCTCCACCCGAGCAGCTTGGAGTGGACGGGCACGGTGACCGTCTCGCTGCGGCCGCTCGGCAGGACCACGTTGACGCTCAGTCGCTCGCCGCATCGGTCGGCCGACCGCACCCGCTCCACCGGCAGAGCGCCCGCGCTCCAGCGGCGCTGGGCGCTCCGCCGGGCGGAGCGATCGGAGCTGGTTCGGGTGGCCGCCATGGAGGCATGGGGGATCAAAATGGATCACGGAGGAGATCCTTGGGAGAGGGAAGAACAACTTGAAGACGGAGCAACCATCACAATCATCAAGCTAGCTGCCAAGCCGTTTGGGGATCGGCGACCTTCGGCTGTCGACGACATCGGCTTGGTGCCTTCGAATCAAGTTTGGGCGACCGAAAATCACGTACTTTCACACACGTGTGTTCAATGTTAGGATACCTGTGTGAATGACCCTGCAGGGCCTGGATATGTTGTGTTTATTGCAGCATTGTCCTTCTGACTCTCTGACTGTTAAGCGCATGTTCCTTCTGCTGATTCTTGATTCCCTTAGCCAAGCGAAGATCCGGCAAATCAATCAATTGAAGGCGTGCCTGTTAGTACAGTTTGGACATGCATGGGTTCATGTGGGGTGTACCCCCAGCCTGGGGTCATATAGGGCAGAAGTTTTGACAAATACCTAATCAGGTGCTCGTGCTGCATTGTCCCGTACCTTAATGCCATTGTAGCCACATAGTGCGAGAAGTGTCGCTATACATGCAGTATGTCTCTTCAGGTAAAACAGAAAGAGACTTTGGCAACCGTGCGGTTGCCCAAACTGAATATCGTGACGTAGTACAAGTGCCATCTCCAACTGGAGTAACCAATTCCAACTACGGACCATACTCTTGACATCTCTTGACAAATTGCCACACTATAGGTCAAAAGCTTTTGCAAAACACCAAAACCAAGCTGGCATCTTGGTGCATGGTCATTCTCCAAGACATGGTTCCAGATTGCTTTTAGCCCATCCAGTTCAACTGTTGATCAGTCAGAAGGAAAACCGGGCCGCGCAAACCCGCTGGGCCAGCTTTCTCGGTGAATCAAGTCTATGAGGAAGAGTATTGTACAACATCATAAATGGAGAATAGCTTTGCTGTAAATCATTTTTGTTTTGGATAGCCCCACGAGTCCTTTGTATAGTTAAGCAGTAAGTCTAAAATCATTAAAGAATGGTCTTCCCCGGTCAAAGCAAGGTCTTCTGCGTCTTCACATCCTCGGCTCAACTGCGTGTGGGGTCTTCCTGACCTACCCCGGTTTTGCCCCGGTTTTGCTGGAGACATCTTGCTGCTTGTCCCTCTCCTAAGCTATCCTTAAAACAAGGGACACACCACTATTGATTGAAGAAATCACAAGACATCGGACGCACTGCCCCAAAGTCTCAAGCACAGGGGTAGTAGTTCCGGAGCAATAAATCCTCCTTTATCATTTGCTCGGGACCTGTTTTGCGGGGTGTAAACGTTCATCTGTCTATGAGAAGTGGAGGGTGGAGGTCTTTTTCACACCCCTCTTACTTGTCACTTCGTCTAGGATGGAATCTGCATCACCCTGTAATCCACCAGCGAACTCCAAACGACGACGTCTCCGCACCACCACCGTCTCCGGGGAAGACCACCGGACGTCATCTACGTCAGCGGTCCGCGGGTCCTGTGCCACATCCTTGGGCAGGAGCGCCACTAGGTCATCCCGACGCTCCTCGCACCCAGAGAGGCCACCCAGAGAGGGAAGCAGGTATGAATATGTAGTAAAATGACGGGGGGGGGGGGCTTTTTTTGCATGTGTCCGTTCGTGGCCTGAAGGGAAAAAAACAGGGTCGAACTGGGCCTCGATAGCTGTTGTCTTTGCGTGTGCTGGCTAGGAATGGGATGTTTGCCTTGCCCTTGTTGGAGCAATTGTATTCGCTTGCTACCCTCTCCAGCGCACTGACTGGCCATAGTTAAAGGAAGACTCTGGTTTGGCTGCTAAGCTAGTGTTGTTCTGTGGCTCAGTGCATCAAGGACCTGGCCTTCTGACCCACCTGGAAAACCCCAACTTGCCAGGACAGCATGCACAGCATTTGACTGAGCTCATGGTTGTCAATGAACATTTCTATACCAGGGCCTTCAAGGGGTGGTTAATGGACACTCCTTAACAGCTAAGGGGCTATAAATAGACACCCCTTGGAGGGTCCTGGTATGATTGTCTATGATTTTCTATGAACCTAACCACAGCTGCCTCTAAAGTATACATGCCAACATGCACACCGTTGCACACCCAAAGCTTCAAGACTGGCCTGCAGCAGTGGAATGGTCCGTCATTGACGATGCACAACTCTGACCGATGTATTTAGGCCTACAGTAGGCGGCCTGGCTTCCGGCTTGATGGCTATGGCATGCTATGGCTATATATTGATGCGCTACCATGCAGAGCTGCAAGTAGGGGACAAGGAAGACACCCACGCTTTCACCTGAGCTGACCCCCCTCAGTTGGCCTTAAACAAAGGGCTAACCTATGGCTATGGCCTATGGCTAACCTTCCACCAGTTGGATTGGAGTTGGGATTGCCTAACCCCACTAAAAGGTTAAAGTTCAAAGGCTATCCACTGGCTAGGTCACCCGGTAGAGAGTGTGGCTTCTTTTTTCTCAGCATCTTGAAATCTTTCCGCGCTTTTCACGGGCATGGAGAAGTTCGAATCGAATCACGGCACGGCAGTGACCACCACAAGTCTGAGCTCCGTAAACGTGTGATGCGCTGTATTGAGAGAGACTCACATCGATGCGGCGTTTTCTAAACTCCTGGAGCTTGCCGTCATTTGCGTGCGTTAAACAAGAGAATAGGGGACCTCCAACAACCCCCTGGAAGAAGGGGAAAATACACCAAAAACCATTGGGGGGGGGGGGGGGGGGTCCTCTTTTTTCTACGACACCCATTCTCGCAGCTCTCTGGATGAACACATCTGGGCAAGAACTGATCACCGACGCAGTCCGCCTATCGGATGTCCCACGCTTTGAGACGAGTATTCTTCTTGTACACAAATGCTAACCTTGGAAAATGCATCGAACATGCTTTCCTCTGGAGATCCTTTGAAGCAAATGGTTCGACCATATTCAAACAAAAGAAGTGTTGGAAACATCAACCTGGGAGTTGTCTTTGGAGAAGTTGGGTCAGCTCCAAGTGCTTGTCCAACGATTATATATATATATTATATAGTTTAGTTCCCAACTCCCCAAAGAATTAATTCTAGCACGGTGTGCATGTTTATAGCATCTATCCGCCTAGAAGTGTGAGTATTTTTGTTGGGAACGTGTGAGTTGAGCAGGTCGATCTTCAGGTCGATCTTCGATTCTGGGTCAAGTCGCTACTTTCGGATGCTCACCTCTGATTTCGTGTCTGACTCATTGGTCACTGCCCGTCTTGACTGTCAGTCTCGAGTCAGTCTCGACGCCCTTGACTGTCTGTGCTGGGCAGATCGGTTCGGACAGGTGCTTTTTGCTCGGGTGCAACTGGACAAATGCAGTCGCCGCAGTCGCCACAGTACCTTGCGGATCGTCTCGGGGTCTGACGCCCCGGCGGTGTGGTCGGTGTCGGATGTCGGTGCTCAGCTGCTCCCATTTGTCGGGATGTCGGTGGTCGAAGGTGACCGGGTTCCTCAAAGGACGCTAACAGCTAATTAGTAGTTTGGTGGAATGCTCAGCTGCTCCCATGCAAAACTGGATCCCCCAAAGGACAAGGTGAATGTCGACAAGAAAAGTTGACACTTTGAAATCGGTTTGTTGCCGGGTCGCAGTTTGATCACATTCTTCTTCAAGAGCTGCTGCACTGATAGAAACACTCAGACTGACTTTAAACAATGAATTACATTACATCAAAGTGCATGTTTCTTCTGGGCTGCTGTTTGACAAAAAGTGCATATTAAATGAACTGTAGCAAACCAGTTCCTCCTGGATTCATTGAGAGCAAAAAAGTGTCCAGCACACGTGCTAAGAATGACCGGTTACGAAGAATGACAGGGGATTCCTTGGCACGCCCAAATGATTTGCTTGAATCATCTGCGCACCTGAAGGCCGATTGTCCCTCTTCAGGGCGCTTGATGGCGTTTGTATATTTAAATCTCATCTCTAATCTGTGTAACACAGCATCTCAACGTATGAAAGCTAAATGCGAGATCCACTATTATATAAATCGTTTGAGATGCCAAAAGCAGTATGCCACAACACAAGCATTGCGTCAGGTTCTCTCAAAAGGCAACGTTTGCCACGAAGCTGCAATAACGTGGACAATTCATTGCCAGGTCCTATCTTAGTTAATTGTAGACTGTTGATTCAAAAAAGACCACCTCGTAAGCCTCTAATTAACCTCGTTTTGAGGCAAAAAGACCACCTCCAATTGGGGGACGTTGATTGATCAACTGCATGTCCACTCTTCCAAGCACCACGCCGCTGGACCTCCCCGGTCGTCCGTCCTGAGGATCCGGCGCGCCTCGGTGTCAGGACGCGTCCACGGGGTTGGATAGGCGGCCAGCTTGCTCCAGCTCAATCTCTACCTGGAAAATGGGGGTCTTTCGGAAGAGTCGATAGATGATGAATGGTTGTGGTTGGATGATTGGAATGGTTGTGGTTGGATGATTGAGATGCCTTTGGGTGAGAAAAGGAAATGGATCAATCACGAGCTTGTCTTTCGACCAGGTACTCCAGGTAAACCATCTGCCGGAGTATGACCTGGTGAGTGTGACTCACCAATGTGGCTGGGGAGAGTAACCATTCAAAAAGACAAACAAGTGGGGTGACAGAGACATATACAGTAACTCATATAACATCAGATAGAGTATCTGAGTATCTACATGACAAGAGCGATCGAACGGATCCACAATCTAGTCATCCAGTCCGAAGGATTGCACTTGAGAAGGAGAATCATCGGTCGCAGATCATCTCCTACTGTACTGACCACAACTTGTTCAAATAACTGATCAAGAAGCGAATGCACTGGGCGGCCAGGGCGGCAAGGCCTTGTCCCCTGGCTGCAAGTAGACTGGCGGATCACGGACGTAGCCCACACCTTGCGACTCGCGCGTTGCGTCTGACTCGGCAGCTCTTTGCATACGCCGTCTTTCGGTTCAGAACCAACGCCTTCAAGAAGGATTTCTTTTGACCATTGCGGTTCAGCATCACTTCAAATCTCTTGAATGGGCAGTTGGAGGAACAATATGCGCAATATGGAGCAAAAAAAGGTTGAAATTGCAAGTGCCCACGTTCGTTGTAAGATCCTGACTTCAAACAAAGCGTCAGCAGCAGAATGATTATGGATTCTGGGTCAGGCTGTACCCGTGACTGCTTGTTTGGATGGTATCCTTCATAGTGCAAGTAAGGGTCGTGTATACGTTGGCTCCTTCCCGTCGAAATCGAAGGTAGTCAGGATGTCATGTTCCATGAAACCAGCAAACCTAGCACATGCCAACCAACAAAACCTCAACTTCTTCCAAGCACTTCTCAGGAAAACTCGTGAAATGCCAACGATCCACCCTGTCTGATGACAGGGCACCTGGTGGCGTGCCGGTGAGGATGATGGTGCCAGGGAGCAACGTGGTACCCTCCGACAAATAACCTCAGGTTGCTGCAGCTGCTAAGGCTCTCGATGGATCAGGTCGATCTAAGGGTACTTGGATGGATCCTTGGTTTAGTGGGGGTGCTTGGTGCTTGGAACCCCCAGCGAACATCGGGAACGGAAGTGTCGAAGCATCGGTCAGAAGTGAGTGGGAGGTCTGTGGGAAGTGTCAGGGTGGGTCTTACCCCACACCTGGCTGCCGCGGGGCATGCGGAGGTTCTTGGAGGCTGAGATCCCCACAACCGGATCTCCGCTCCGGGACACCCCACCGAGAATGAACAATACCACCTGGGAGGTCCGGTTTGGGGCTTTGGGTTTGGACCCAGGCTACTTGTGAACCTCCAAGTGGAAATCATGTACTAAAAATGACAGGAACCCCACACCATCAGCCAAATCGGCTGCCGTGATCTGTCTGGGTCCTGGGAGCACCAAATTGACCACAAGCAACGGACAGCAACGGAGTAGAACAGTGCAGCTATTTGGGCTCCAAAGCTCTCAAAAAGCACCCTAACTCGCACTCTTCTCAACATCACAGTGATTCATGAGTCTTCTCAACATCGAGGTGATGTCACCTGATGTCACAGATCTGAAGTCTCCAATTCTTCCAAGGGGCTCAGGATCTGCCCCAGCTGAAACTCCATGTCAGAGGTGTTCCTCGCATCAACAAGCGGCTAACTCGTCCACTCAACAAGTAAGCGGCTAACGTGCTCCGTTTTGGATTCACTGTGGCCAGTTGCTATGTAATACAGCACTGGGGAGCCGAAGACCAGGATAGCCTTACTCGTGTCCGGAGTCTTTCTGCCTTGCAGCTATCCTAATTATATATATATATATATTATATATAGTGTTGAAGTACATTGAAGTTCAAGAAAAAGAAAGGTGCCTCGTCGCTCATCCTCATGTCATCATCATCATCATGTCATGTTCCAAGACCTACCTCTTCGCCTCTTCGTCCCCTGAGTTCGGTGCCCATCTTGCATTGCGGTGCCGTTGACCCAACTTCGGACCTCCCGTCCGGGCCGTGTGCGGTGCCGTGGCAGCGACCGGTGCGGCGGCGACCGGGTTGACCGGGGCTGGCTTTTTCCTTTTTCGACATCCGAATTCAAAAGGTATAGGGACGTGTAGAGGTCCTGCACACATTTCGGAACCCACCCCAAGCAACGAACCTTTCTCAAATTGTGGCCCAGGGGCCCTGGGGATGGATTTGGGTATTGCATCGTACGTTAAGATGCAGCGGATTGGAGTACCACATACGCTTGAAACAAGCACTGGAATTCTCGATCATTGGTGTTCTGCTTGGCGCGAATGGGTTTGTATGTCAACCCCTTCATGCACCACATCAGGCGTTTTGCCCGTTGGTGGACTTCGGAGGTGTTCCCACCTCGGAACGCTCCGAGCTCGGTTCCATGGCACCCGGTCGGTGGACCGAGCCCGGTCACCGAGGCAAAGCAGGTTTGGGGGGGCCCGGACGCGCATGCCCTGGGAGAGCAAGTCTTTGGCACGACCTCGAGAGTGCTTCACCATGTGTGCTGTGAACCATGTGGTGTGGACGAAGCGGCGAGAGGCTATGATTGGACGAGAACCATCAGCACTGAATTATAACAATTATATATATTACAGTATATACAAGAGGGCTTTCTAAAGCCTTATACCATCAAAACCATCAGGGTTTTCTAAACCACGTGTATATAACATGAATTATCATGACGAAACAGTTTCATACGTCTACTGTGTCATCCTTGGCAGTGTTGTAGTACTCCGTAATGAGCATAAACGAGCCAGGCCCTCCACATGAACAACACCCTTTAATAAAGAAGTATTGTTTTCCCTCCAGCGGCATCTTTTAAATCGCCGTGATCTCATGGCGTGATTATGGTTGTTTTTGCAGCATTTATGACACGTTCATACACCTGCTACTGCATGTGTATATATATATTGTGGCAATAGCACGTATCTCTCCAAAAACCAATCCAATCGTTCAAGAACGTGCTGAAACTTACCCAGAACAAGAACTGCAATCAAATCCTCACACTTTGGAAGGATGGCTTTAATGTTATGTTTGATTGCTTCCTTGTGATTTCTTTGATCTCATGTTGGCTCGCCTAGCACGTCCATCTTCGCTGACTAAGGCACCCATGGGGATCAGCGTTGGCCCCAAAGGGCAAAAGGTGTTGAAGGATTTGGCCCTCGACCATTGGCCTCCGCCTTTCTTCCCTTGCCACCTGCGGGAAAAGAGAGGAAAAACAAATGTCTCAAATTCAAAACTGTCAAAAGGTGGTGGGTGCACATGAAAACACATGCAAATCTTGACATTGAAGACCCATGAAGAATTTTTGGATTCCAGCCGCACATTACCGTCATTTTGGCTTTTGGAAGGGAGAAATCCTCGCCCACTTGGCGCGGGTTAACGCCCGGTGGACAGCGTCAGCAGGATGGCCAGCCATGGCTCAAATCCAGTGAGCCGCCCAAGAATTCCATGGAATTCAATATCTTAAAGTCAATAGCTGATCTTCCAGTCTACGAGCTGACACAGCGCCTCAGTACCAATTTCGTGAACGACCCTTTTCCCAAGTCAATGGTTCGACCATGTAAGCCGACAAAATGGTTTGACCATGTCCTACACTCGTTTCCTCCAGTCATACGCCATACGCGAGTTCGGACCATGTTCATGACATGTTCATGACATGATAGACGCACCTACCAGCCTTCACCTCTGACCTATGACATATACCGCCACCTTACCAGCCCCTTGGATGCTGCTCCAAACAGCTCCCCACCCCGGCGCCCCGGCATCGACCTCCGGGCCGAGACGTCGTTGGCCCCGGTGACGCCCAACACCGCGTCCAGGGCCGCGTCGGGCGGCGCGTTGGTCACGGCACGGGCCAGGACGATGGCGAGTTCGGCCTCGAAGTCCACCTGGACCAGGATCAAAGGGGTTCAGTTCGATACAAGTTCAGGTGCCACCAACAACCGACTGCCATGTGTTTTTTCCACAGCTCTCATCCCTTTTTTTGGGGAGGGGTTGTACCGGGTAGTCGCCTACATTTGTAGGGGTTTCTGCGCTTTGTCTTGGAGGATTTTTGGTGGGTCCGTTCGATGACTGGCAAAAGAAGATGTTGGAGGCATCGAACTGAAGCAGAAAAGCAAAGGGGGGTCGGACTTGTTGGGTTTTCTTCACCGTGGAAAACAGCAACACAACGGTTTCAAAGTTCAAGGCTATTCAACATGTTCATGGATGTGGGTCAATACCCAATGTATGGTGGTCGTTGGCCTGTAATTACAAACGATTCTTCTCAACAGTGAACGCCAGATTCTGTGAAGAAGTCAGGTTCAATGGCATCTCTAGCGGCGGAATGGAGCAGTCATCAGTCTATACGGAAACACAACAAGTATCAAAATTTCAAACGATTCCGGGCGACATATCAAAACATGCGGTTTTGACATGCTTTGACTGGTCTTTGAGACCGCCACCGGCCGCTACCAGGCCAATGACCACGCTGGACGCATCACTGATCCCTAGCCAGCCTCTGGCTTCTCACGAGCCACCTGGCAGCCCAACTGAAACAAATCATTTGAAGGAACCTGTTTGCTTCCAGTCCGAGCCTTTTTCACGATAGAGTTTGGTTTCCCGGAAATAAATCTTTAGCTTAGCTTGTTGCAGTCAGCATCAAACACATCTGAAAAGCCAGTGTGAACATGGTGCCCGAAGGCGACCCCAGTTCCGCAGCTCAGTGCGAAGGTCCACGCACACGTAGACGTGGGGTATCGCTTGGGGAGCAGAAGTCCACAAGGGACTGCTGCATCAGTCTCCTCTCCAATGTGACGATACACTCCGCGCACGAGGTGCACATCAAGGGTCAGTTTTGAGATCCTCCATGCTGGCACACACTGACGTAGCACAAAAGAAACATATCGAAGAGCAAGAGAACCACATAATTACCACGGGCGTAAGGCCCTTTGAGTTCAAAGCGCTCAAAAATGCTGGCAGTGCGCAGCGGAATCAGCCAGCACAAGGTCGGAATACTTGCAACATCTTGCAACAAACAGTCGTATACAGTCTGAAATGCCACTATTTTTCCTTGTTCCCTCTCAACGGGCCGGTTCAGGGGAAGAGCCTGGAGCGTGCGTAGGTAATCACAGTCTTAATGGCAGTGAGACGCCCTGCCATACCTGGATCCTCCTTTAGGCTAAAAAAAATGCCGGACCTTGGTCCGGCAAAAGTTTCCGCCGGATTCCGAAAAAAAAACGAGAACCTGAAAAACATCCGGATCCAAGATTTTCAAAAACAGAAAAGGTTGGATCATACACAAGCAAGCTGCCTTTGCGCCATGAGTATTTTTTTTGGAACACACTCATTCCACAACCCAATCACTGGAGCCTTCCCGTTCCTCGCCCATCTTCCGAAATGCAAAAGAGCAAACCCTTCACAACATATACGCAAACTTATGCCCAAGCAAAAACGTCCAAAAACAAACCAAGGAGTATGTGGCAAGGAGTCCCTCTATCTCTGCCACCGTGTCTCTAACGCTCTTTTACAAAGTTGTTTGCTCTCCAGGATTTTTCAGTTTGCCTCAGGACTTCGACCCCCTAATCAACGTAGCAGAACTCATGGTTCCAGTCAAAACCATCAAGATTAATCCAAGCCCTTCAAAAGACCGAGTCCGGAAAATTACGCCGGAGTATGGGAAATTACACCAGATGTACGGGAAATTCTGCCGGAGTTACGACGCGCCTCTTTTTTGCACCTCTCTGCAAAACATTGAGGTTCTGACAACACACGGTCCACAACCCAAACCTTGTCCAGCAGGCTCTGCAAACCTGCGTAGCTAGAACTATTTCCCAGCCGCCCGACCCTGAAACAATGGGAGTACATTATCGCCTATGTTCTTTCAGCTTCGTAGGTACTGTATCGAGTTCATTTAGGAGATCACCTCAACGGATCTGATTGAGACAGTGTGAACCACTGCTGAAACCGGTGGAACGAGAAAACAGCGGAACAGGCAAACAAGCACAATTTCAAGCAAAACTATTCGTCAGTAGAGGATTTACCTTCAAAGAAATGCGGACCACAAAGAATGCAAAGCCTTGAGAATCCACAAAAAGTGACCTGGAAAAAACTGCTGGACCAAATCCAGAAAAATGCCGGAGTTCGAAGTCCGGCGCCGGACCCTGTAAAAGTGCCGGACTGAAGATCTATGGTATAGCGGTCATCTAGATTCTAGATCAGTGGGTCTTCTTCCTCCTTGTGTCTTTCTGCTCGTCACCTCTTCTTCCTGCTCTCTCCTCCTTCTCAGTGTTTCTTGTGGCTCTGCGCCCGCTCTTGCACTTGGAAGCGCAGCTCCCCGACGTCAACCAAAGGGAGGAAGGAAGCCCAGTGGGTCGACCAAGAATGCAGCCGCTGAATTCGGCCGGTTGGTAGCCAGCCAGCACGCTGCCTGAAGTTCTCGGGCTTGCGAAAGCCTTCGGCAAACATCCGTCGCACGCGATGACCTGTCGACCGGCCAAGGAGAACGAAGACCCCGGAGGATGTCTTCCTCCTGAATGTGGCGCTGCCACCCGAGAGGCCACTGCCACCAAAAGCTTTCCTTTGGGAAAGAATGGGGCCATGGCATTGGAGACATGCTTGGGCCACACCACACAAACCAGTGGGGGAAGAGTTCAGCAGCCGAAGGTTTCATGGATGCTGACGCCGTGCGAAACGGATCCATGGTCGGATGTTGAGTGCTGAAGCTGCCATGTTCCACTGGCGTTCCTGTGTCCGCTCCACAGCACCGTCCTGAATGTTTGAACCTTGAACTTCACTTTTGGACGTGAGACCCTGAAAGGAAAGCACTTCCAAGCTAAGCTAGGTAACTTACAGTATTTACCACAGAAGCGAACATTATCTTAATTATTGTGGTGGGAAAAAAAACAACAAAGGCATACCATTCATGTCGTGCACGTTCCGCAATCTGTCGGCCGTTTCTTTGGTGTTTCCTGGCAGTTCACCAAGCTTTCACAAAGGGTCGGGCAAATCACGACAGACCAAGAGAAGTGATTGTTCTTGTCAAACATGGAGAACTTCACTTCTCTTGGAATCACCAACAAAAACACATCACGGCATTGTTTCAGAATGGATTCCATTGTTCTCACCAACATCCGAACCATTTTGATTTGGAACCCGTACCGGACCCGTACCTCGGTATGAATCATCACACCGTCTCATCGAACTCAGAACCACGAAGAACTCGTGCTGTCTGCTGAAGCATACCTCATAAGGTCTGTCTGACACGAATCCCACCTTCGGAATCAGGAT